TCGCGACCGAAAAGCCCATAGGCATGGCTTTGGAATGTCTGCGATCACGACTTTGACGTACGCTAAAACAGATTCCAGTATCGATGGCATGTTGTATCGACGAATGTAAACGCTTGCTATGGCTATGGCGTCACAAAGGTGGCAGGCCTTATCATGCTGATTTTCGTATGCTTACAAAACAAGGGAATCCAGTTGAGCTGCTCCAGTTCCATACTACTGAACTTATTGCCGGTAAAAGTTTTTTGTTTGCCAAAGCAAAGGTTTTGGCGTCGATTCGGTGTCATTTGTTTAGAACAGAGGATCTCCTTCGTCAGACGGGGGTGGGGGGGGGGGGGGGGGGGGTTCAATAGATGACGCATTTATTCTTTGTGGTTTCCAGATTAATCAGGAGGTCCCATTTGTGGCCGATAGGCACCCTAGGCTGTGACGCAAACGTCTTTTAGTCGACAATGGGGACAGGTACTGAGGCCCAGTGTGATTCCTGCTCTCGTTGAAAGAGGGTAGATATGGCGCAAGTATTCAATTCATGAGAATCCTTACCTTACGAGAACGTTGACATGGCAAGACCAACCTTCGCCACGATTCTCCGTTTTTTATTGGACATGTCAGAGGGGCGATGCAACAACCCTGTCATTCCCAGATTAAGAATGATGAGACTTTGGCGAAAGGAGACTGGTCTCAGCAGGGAATCAGGACATGTAATACATTTTACGCTGCGAGATCACTAATCACGCCCAACAGCCCAGGTCACATCACATTTTTTCAACAAGGAGACGTTTCCCAACATTGCGCCCTTATTCCCCAGAACCCTCAACAAGACTCTGCCCGCGAAGTTGATCTGAACTGAGCTCTTAGGATGCTCCATAGACTCTGCACCGGAGTTTCTCCCGTGTTTTCTAGCTATCGCTGGGTGCGTCACGTCCATACCATTCTCTGAAAACTCGACCAGCGACACCGTTATTTCCTGAACCGCACACAGGTGGCAGCACTGGTGCACGCCGGGCGGGTTGCGCGTACACCACGAAGCCAGAGCACCTGTTCCATGGTGGGCCACTCCCGGCCTGGGGCAAGCCTGACGTCGGTCTGCCCCGGGGGACCGATATCAGATGGCATACCGATGGGTGGCCGCCCATCGTCTGGGGAAACCAATGTCGTCGCGTCATGCTGCGAGAGGGCCTTTCGTCGTATGACGGTTGCCAAACGGTACTCCTCCAGTGGCAGACAACACTACCGCAAGGATCGCTAGCTCTGACGCTGCATTGATGAACAAAATACGTGACGTCTGCAGTCAATTATTGATGCAGCTGATAGATCCGTACCCAAATATTTCAGGTCTCTGCCGCAATTCTTTATAATCAACTCCTTCAAAAGTGATGTGTGATAGAGAAAAGCTTAGGACACGCGAAAGACACGCGATCTTTACCAGCACGGTTTCCCCCTTTTTTCGTCTCACATGTTTCTGCTTGTCTTGGGTTGGGTCTCTTTTCGGGAACTCACCCACCGTCTGAGGGACGTTGGGCACTGCTTATAGCGTTGAGCGCAGCAGCTGCTCTGACACCAGCAGATGAATGATAATGAACGCCATAGCGGAACGGGCTCTCATCAAAACACATTGCACACATCGTCACGCAAAACATTTTAAACAGAAAACTGCTTGGGACTATGAACAACATGTAAGTGCTCATTTGTGGGGTCAGGTGAGGGAGTCAGATGATCACCACAAATATAATCCCTGCCAGCTATTTCCTGACTGCATGACTGAGATCCAACGATTGCTTTTTATACTGCCGCCAGGTGGCACTTGGCACCCACCGATGGGTTGTGCTCGAAGTGTAAACCTACAAAAGCGGGGCTTTGGATCCTCACCAGCTACTGCTATATTGTCTGCTAGGCATGCGCCTGGGGACGTTATAAATGCATTTCTTATGAATATCACCGGCATCATTATCCCGTTGTCAGTGGCCATATGGTCACTCGGAGCACTGTTACACCATATGGGAAGAGCGGACCGGCAGCCAAGAGAAGAACACAGCCCTCTGCACAGCCACCTAATCAGGACCCACGTGTGAGGTAGTACTGTGAAGTAACTAGTAGCAAACGATTATTTATTTAAAATTCGGACCTGGGAATGGCCCTTTAGGTAGGATCATCGTTCAGGCAGTTTCAAAGTCATATATCGAAGAGCCTGAATTGTGCCATTTTCTAAGCCCATCGGCACACCAATCTACTTCAACTTGGCAACGCACTGACGCACGCTTGGAATGACACGACATATTTCAAAGTAGTGCACTGACTATGAAGAGCGCGCTAACCGCGACTCTTGCATACAACTGTTTTCAACCAGCAATGTGTTGATCACTTCAAATTTTACTCTACTTGTCAATACCTAGGTGTTTAACTCTACCCCTTCAACCAGTGGTCTACGTCACACCTACTACAGCACACACCTACTATGGGGCCCAGGTTGTTGCATGGCGACTTTTACCGCCGTTGTAGTGGACGATTTGGTAACATATTTCCAGCTTTGTAGGCACCCCTGCCTATGACGTCACGTCTTGAAATGACGCAACCGGTGACCAGATTACGATGCGATTACAGCTCACGTAGGAAGCCGTTTCCATTGAAGTGGTGGTCAACATTCCGTTGGTGACAGGAATTGCTGGTCAGCAAACCCCTTGCAGCAGACCGCCGAGCTCCGACCATGAACATAAGCCGCAGAGCCACCCGATGTGGTAAAACAAATGGGAAAGTTTGACAGCAGGGATCGTCTCCGATTTGCATCCGTAAAAACCACCGGGCTCACCCAGCGTTAACCACGACCATGATTTGTACTCTGCAGCCGCCACCAAGCTCCGGCCGTGGATATTGCCAGTGTCGAGGATGAGAAGAGCCTGGTTTGGGGCAGCAGAGCAACGTGCTTTGACATAAGCTCTGTGTGGACGGTGGCCTCCGTCCCCAAGGACGATCACTATTCCTGTGTTGTACTGTCTGTAGTCAGACGACGGTTACCAGAAGTGCACATGGCATTGTGGTCTGCTTGCGTGCGCGTGCGCATATATCATCCAGGAGTCAGTCTAGTTTTTAGTCGAGACGATCGGTCGAAATCATAAGCATGTTTTCGCGGCCGAAAAGCCCACGGCTATGGCTTTCGAACTTTTGCGATCACAACTTTGACGTACGGCACAGCAGACTCCAGTATTGATGGCATCTCGTATAGCCGAATGTAAACGACTGCTATGGCTGACGGCGTCAGAGAGGTGGCAGTTCTTATCATGCTGATATTTGTACGCTTACAACACAACGGATTCCAGTTGAAGTGTTCCACTTCCAACTTACTGAACTTGTTGCTGGCGAAAGCTCCTTTTGCGTAAGCAAAAATTTCTGCGTCGATCCGGCGTCAACTGCTTAAAACAGAGGACTTTCTTCGTCGGGAGAGGGGCAATGCATGGTACCTAACTTCTTGGAGCATCTAGATTAACCAGGAGGTCCTGTTCACATATCGCCATAACGATTGTCTGTAGGTAAATTTCTTTTAGCCATAATGAGGACAGGTATTAAACCCCAGTGTTATGCCCACGGGGCGCTGGCTGCAATTGGTCAGATATGAATGCTTAATCCATGATAATCACTAGTTAATGAGCACGTCGGCATGACAAGGCCATCCCTCAACCTCATTCTTCGTTTTTGTCAGACAAATTGTTATGTGTGTGTGGGGTGGGGGGAGGGCGAAACATTACCCCTGCCTTTTTCCAGGCTGCGAATGGCGTGACATTGGTTGGAAAAAAAGGCTGGCATCAGCAAGCAATCGCGAGATGCCACACATTTTACACAGGGAGTTTTTACCAGCATTTTACCCTTATTCCCCAAAACCCTTACCAAGACCCTGCCAGCGCAATGGACCTGAACAAAGCCCTTCGGATGCTCCACAGACTCTGCGCTGGAATTCCTCTCGCGATGACATTTCTAGCTATCACAGGGCGTGCCGTTCATGTGCCATTCTCTGAAGGCTTATCCCACGACACCGTTAGTTCATGAACCGCGCACAGGTGGCAGCACTAGTGCACACCGGCCCGGCTGCCCGTACACCACACCACCAATAACTCACCACGTCACCAATAACTCACGACTTACCTTTTAAGTGTAAGAAGCCTCCGTGGAAAGCCCAGTACATGGTGCAGTGTAGGTTTTGTGTTATATGTACTTGGCCATACAAACGTGACACAAGTATTCACAGTTAGGCTGGCAAAGATGAACGCGAACAGAGCATCAGTGGAAAGACCGGCACGCCCGCCATGTTTTCAACAGGTCATGCATAAAATACGGCCGTGCTTGCCATTAGCATGCAGGCAAGGTGAGTGTCTGGAGCGGTGCTGCCAGCCGGCCTGGACTGCCCATGCCAACTGGTGTAACTGAAATAAGCAGGTAATTGTAATACGTTGGTTTTTTCAGCATCCACTGTGTTAATACTTCCACCTCTTTTTCTTGTTTGATTCTTAGTTAACGATAACATTATCTTTGATAAGTCATTACGAGGGTGATCACAATAAGATAGTCCATGAATATAGTTCAAAGTTTCGCCCTTCTATCTCAGCGTTTTCAACTCATCTCCGCTGATGATAATGTTTGCCGATTGGTGTAGCAGATACGACTGACCTGCCCCCGTCCAGCTGACGCCTCGCCTGTCCCGCCCCCCAGGTCACAGCAGTCACCAGCACTGGCGCCCGTGCGGGGGCGAGTCTTCGCTGGAGTGTTCTCCGAACAGGCGTCAAGTGTCCAGAATTTGCTATCTTTTATAGACCAATCTCATAGAAATCCAAATCCAATCCCACGGAACCATTAGCTGAAATGTGGGAATCGTGCAACAAAATGGTAAAGAGACCTTTCCGTCGCAGGTAACAATTTGTATAATTTGCAAATAGTACGCGACGCAACACCTCAGAGTCCCCTGTCCAGCCCTGTTCCACCCCTCAATGTGTAACGCACGTGTCTTCTGTTTGCAGGGTTCCGCCTCGGGCGGCAGCAGCAGTACTAACGCGGGACATGCCAGCAATGCCCAGTTCAGAGGCATCCTTGGCCAAAGTTCGACCTCCAACACTGGAGCTGTCTTTCAGCAGAGCGGTGGGGGAGGCTACTACTGAACAGCTGGCGACCACAACCGACACCGGAGTGGAGACGGTGCTTCTAACCTGAGACAAATCAGGAGCAGGGTCATAGCGGTGCAGGATACCGTTAAAGATTAGCGGATTAATTGTGAACGCCATCCTGCCGTGGATACGACATATCATGTATCATATCATATCATATTTGAACATGCTTAAATCTCCTGTCAATGTGGCATGATTTCGGATAACTGAGTAGTATAAAGCAGACGACGGGAATGGTGATGTCTGAAGTATGTTGACTTGACTGGGCTTGTGACGCCTCCGGAGCACTGGGTTTGCGGCGTTCGGGATCATGTCTCGTGATACGAATAATGATGAGTTGTGTCAAACGTTCCCGTTTTATTGCAAAAGAACGCTGTACGTGCGCCAAGAGGTTTGAAGCAAGTTTGTCTTTTGGGAAGATTTTAGGACTTGCATGTCAATAAGAGCCAAAACTTGGTTCTCTCTCAGGAAAGAACAGACCACTTCAGGGTTCCTTTTAGGCCTGATTTTAATTCTGAGAGGCCATGTTAAGCCTAAAAGAAACGGGTCTCCGCCATTAGCCCAAGACCCTTCCTTCCCTGCAGTGCTCGTGACGTCATTTAGTTTTTTACCATGCTTAGCGGATATTCGTCCTGCTGTACACCACCTTCATCCAGCGCCCGTTAGCTAGGCACCTATATATCTCAAAATATACCGGTTTCTTCAACAATGCCCCATTGCATGCGTCAAATATCGAACAACCTTTGGTTTCAATTTCTCATCATATAAAGGGAGCACCGTCTGCGAAACCTCAGAAAATGCGGGCTATTCAAGCCCCCGTGTCACTCTCGTAACAGTGCTGCAAAGAGCATTTAGTATTTTCTGGCTGTATTTTATTTTATTTTTTTATTTGTATTTTTTTGTATTTTATTTAGTATTTTCTGACATGTTTCACATACCTAATTACCTCCACATATTTCACGTCACTAACCAGGAAGAGCGCGCTATCCGCGACTTTTGCATATTTCGCTGCTAAGCGGACGTGTTTGTCGCTGATAAACCATGTTCAACGTGAGGCATACGTACAACCAACGTACGGGGCAATTTGATTCTATATTTGCCGCTGTGTAGATACCCCTGTCTATGACGTCACGTTTTAAAATGACGCAATCAGTGACCAGATTACGATGCGATTACAGCTCACGTAAGGAGTCGTTTCTATTGAAGTGGTGGTCAACATTCCGTTGGTGACAGAAATTGCTGGTCTGCAAACCCCTTGCAACAGACCGCCCAGCTCCGACCATGAACATGAGCTGCAGAGCCGTCCCGGGCGGTAGAACAAATGGGATAGTTTGACAGCAGGGGTCGTCTCCTATTTGCATCCGTAAAAACCGCCGGGCTCACCCAGCGTTGACCACGACCATGATTCGCACTCTGCAGCCGCCACCAAGCTCCGGCCGTAGATATTGCCAGTGTCGAGGATGGAAAGGGCCTGGTTTAGGGCTGGGCCCACCAAAACTAAGAGAGCTAGACACACCAAATTCACAGGCTGGTTAGGGTGATGTGTTGACATCTGAGGTTACTAGGTCACGACCTTCGGGTCAAGGACTAATATTTCCTGAGCAAAAGGTCTCTGGTTTTGGTTTAAGTTGGGTGACATTTTTTCCTTAAGCGTGTCAAAGTGACCCAATACCTAGAAGATTGCTTCTATGTTGTTATTTTAATAAACGTCAGGTGTTATACGCTAGGTGGTACTTTGCTAAAGCAAAACGCTGAACTGGGTCACTCAAGGTTAGTGAACCACTTTATTACAAGAGGTCCAAATAGCATGCCGGTAAAATGACGTGGAGCATGTCATCTTAAATTGGATTGCTTCATTGACTGCAAAATGATCTCAGAGGTGCACAGCCTCGTCCAATACTTCGTCGCCGCATCAAATTGAACGATTCCCTAGAAGTGCCCTTTGCTGACAGCCACGCCCGGACTTGGACCTGGCATTCGTTAGCAGCCTTGCGAGGTACATCTCATTTTTTACCTAAAAGATAACCTATTCAATCTTCTAAGGCTACGCAAACTTTAGCGTGGCTTCACCGCGATTTCGAAAATCAGTTTGGAAAAACCTTCGCGGTGTCAAATTGCACCCACCCACATCAAATCGCGTGTTAATGAAGCAGCGTCGTCCCCACCGGCCGCTTATAGCGGATTCATCGGCTGCCGCCCGCCGCCCGTGCAGGTCGCGCGTCATTGTGCAGCGTTCCAACCAAGGCTACTAGAGAAAGATGCGCAGACGTGACGTCACAATGGAACTAAGGTTTGGTAGCCCGCAGTATGGTTTTCGGTTGAAACTAGGAAAAGGTTGGTGAATGCTAGTCACGTGATGAAAAACGGAGATTTCGCGATTGAACTGGATAGCAACCGTGTTCTACATCCTTCTTTAACGTTACGTGAATAGATATTGTAGCTTTAAATTTCAAACATTCTAGAGACTAAGCAGTACCAGCATCTGATTAAAAAATGTATCCGAATAAACCACATATTTTAGTTCGAGCACCCATGCCAGACTCGTAAGGGCCAGCACGCGAAAACATCTAAATGTAATTCGTTTTTTTAAAAGGAAGATTTATGTGTCGACAAACAAATATCATATGAAACGTTTACATTAAATCAAATAATGGGCGATGATTGCCCATATACATTTGTACTGCAGTACCTATATGGAACAAAACGTAAAAACAAAGTCATGTGAGGACGGTAGGTAGCAAAACTTCGCTGTTGCTGTGCTATGATACTCCTATGTGTTGATTAACTTGCACATATATAATGTTGGATGAGTTAGATACAGATGGTGTGCAGAGAACAATACCCCCACCGCCCTAAAATGCCCCTATTATACTACTTTGGAGCTGAGATATGGGCCTTAACTCTTTGGAAAACATTGCAAAACTTGCCCGAAATCGGTCCATTTTACAGGAAAATTCTGCTATTTTGAACTGCAATAGCGCGCGCCATATTTAATCCGCCAGGGCTTACCACTCATTATTCCCATAAGGGCAGGCCAACCATGCATCCACTTACTCCCCCTACGGCTATAGGATGTGCGTTCCAACTTCTCAGTGTGCGTCTCAGGGTGCTGCGAGCCCGTCTAGCCCGCCGTATCTCATTCCCATCCTACGTTGTTGTTGATGTTACAAGTTGTGCTCTTTTACACAGACTGTTTCTAAGCACTTCTGGGTATAGTTCTTCGGGGTAAACCCATCTGTCTATCGGGGGCAGGCTGGAGGCATATTTCAGCAAAAATGTCGTGGCTCTGGTGCAAACCAATGCCATTTCTCAGATGAAAATGTTGCATTAGATTTGGTAGTCCAAAAAATCGGCTTATGTAAATATTTATGTTTAAGCCAGCTCGCAAAAACGTTTTAACGCCGCCATGCCATTGGCGCCATATGACTAAGTCCCATAGTGGTGTCGCAGCATTGCTACTCAAGAATTAGTAATGCGGGGGGGGGGGGCCTTGGTTCCAACAATTCGCCTCTACTAGGGACGAGAAGCCCCAAAGTCACGCTTTTGGTACGAAAGCACATGCAATAATCCTCGGATGCTACTAGAGACCTGAGTGTGATTACACGATACGCTAGAACGACATCACCAACATGAGATTAAGGAACTTACTTTCCTTGGTGTGTGCACCTCCCGTAAGTGCGAATGTCAACAAAGAGGAGACAATTCGCTCCCCCTCCCCCCTTCCACAAAACCACAGCCCGTGCCAAGACAGGCTGCTCTCTTGATCTGATGTGCATTCATCGAATGTTCCATGCATTTTTCACTAGTTCTCCCACACTCGCATTTCTAGCCATCACAGGGCGTGCCGCTCATGCGCCATACTTTGAAGGCTCGACCCACAACTCCGTTATTTCGTGAACCGCGCACAGGTGGCAGCACTGGTGCACGCCGGGCCGGCTGCCCGTACACCACGTCAGAGCACCTGCTCCATGGCGGGTCACTCCCGGCCTGGAGCGAGCCTAACGCACAGACTTGCAGCCGTCTTCAAACTGGTGCAGCAGCAACAGGTCAGCAGGTCAGCAGCAGCCCGGCAGGATCCTGCCGGCTGCGCCATGTTGTGCTTTCGAGGGACAGCAGCCCTGCAGAGATGTGTCTTCAGAGTCGATGAGGGCAACTCCCCTCTTGCAGCTAGGCGCGTACACAACATAACCTCGCTCACCGGTCCCTAGCCAATAGGAGAGTTTCACCGGGCCCTGGTACCCCTGGTGCGGTTGTTCGACCGATGACGGGCTTCACGGCGCCGGGCGGCGGCCCGGCGGCTGTCGGCGCGTCCCGACAGGCCAGCCGGACAGGACCACGTCACACAGAACCTACACAAACGGCAAAAGCCGGAGGTGTTCGTGCCATTTGCTTGTGTTAAATGCGTCTATCAGTATCCTCATTGGTTTTCAAAGAGAAGACACCATCGTGTAGCGTCGTGCTGTTCATTACGTCACATCAAACCAACAAGAAAGGAAGAAAGGGTAGCGGTCATGCCCACTGCCGCTGGTGAAGCCATTGCTGGTCACGTGACACATCCCGGCCACGTGACAGGATCGGTATGACATAGTCCGTGATTTATTGCATTCGAAGTCGGTAGCCAGACTGGCCTGGGCTTAAGGTCATTCGGGCTGCCTTTAGTTGACTACGAACAAGCTAGCACAATTTGTCATATATGCCTATATGCCGTTTATATATGCCTTGCACGGTATCGTGCGCTATGGTGGCGTGCATGTGGCAGTTTCTTTCTCCACTTCTGCTTCCACGAGAATCCCGTTCTGACCGGGGATTCTCGCTCCTAAGAATCAGCTTCTTCACTTATCACTCAATTCGCCTCAACAGGCGGCACGTTTCTCACCTAAAATTTGGA